GTTCGCTTAGGTGGTCATGGAACATTACATGGTTACAGCAATATCGTTAATCCATATTTAGAAGTAAGTTTATGACTTCCATCAATCAAAAAGATTCATTTTCTCTCTCTTGGTTTTTTATATTAGATTCCCGATACCAGTAAAAGTATTGAATACATGCAGGTAAATAGGAAACTTTTTTTTTTTAATATTAAAAAACAAACAAACTAATACTTCTATTTATTATTCAAGGGTTATCTTATGCGCAAATGTTGCGTGGAGTCCGACGGCAAACGAAGTAAATTATTTTTGTTTGATTTTCATTCTTTGTTTATTTTTCTTTTATATATAATAGCTCCATTTTTACGTCGTGGTTGGAAAGCATATTATGCTAGTTTACGTGATATGATTCTTTATTTACATAAAAATGATCAACAACCAACGACAATATTAATTGGTGATACAAATGCTATACGTTTACATCATGCATTTGCTCAAGAAGCAGTTGATTATCGTAAAAGACAACATGTTTTTCGTTTAAAAACATCTGATTGGGCGGAATATTTATTTCAAACAACAGATCGTGATTTAATGAATCAATGGATTGATACAATTAATTTAGTGGCAGCATCATTTTCATCACCACCATTACCAGCAGCTATTGATTCTGTTTCCTTACGTTTTCAACGACCACTTTTACCAAGTGTACAAACACGTTATTCAATTGTAAATGAAATTATTCTATATATATATATACATATATTAAAATAATTTTTTTTATTTATTTTCTTTAGTTTGAACAATATGATTTTATTATACATCAAATAAATGAATTAACCAAACAACTAAATGATCTAAGAATCCAATCTTATGCAAATAATACAATTAATGGTGATATTAAACAAATAAAAGCATGTGATATGATTGAAAATAAAGATAAAATTGATTATCTTCAATATGAAGTAAATCAAAACATTATTTTTATTTCTTTTTTAATACAAAAATTTCATTTTAGTTACAACGATATGAAGCATATGCTGATCGATTAGGAAGACATTTTCAACAATTACAAATCGATCATTCATCATTGAAACCAAACATAACTGAACATCAACAACATCATAGTTTTATCGGACCTATTGAAGCATTTTCAGGTGTAAATACTCCTCAACAACCAACAGCATCTGCTAGTTATAAAAAGAGTTCTCAATCAGCAAATATAACATTAGCAAATGCTAATCGTTATAGTTATATGATGGCTGTTAATACACATCCTGTAGCCATAAAAGAACATCGATTATAATTAGTCTGATATGAATATCAACTGCACACCTTCTCTGGCACGAGTGTTTTTACAGTGCGTTTTAGAACTGTTATATATACATATATATATATACAAAGGTGTATGCACTTTCTCTTTATTATTATTATTATTATTTTTTTGTGAACATGCTCAATTTTCTTTCTCTTGTGTCTTTTTGATTCACGATCTTCTTCACTAGTCTTATTTCTTGTTTGCTTCTCTTATTGTGTGTGTGCGTGTGTATATATCTCTCTCTATATGCTGTCTTCTCTTTTTTTTTCTTCTTCTTCTTCTTCTTCTTTGCCAAATCCCGGTGGTAGATGGGAGAAAGGCAACTCTCGCGTTGTGGCTCACAGAAATATTTCAAATAGACAGCCAACAAAGTGAATTGAAAAAATTTAATAATCGATCAAAGAATATTTTCAGCTTGGGAAATATAAAAATTGACAGAATATATATTCTGTAAGTTAATTATAGATTTTTATCATAATAATGACAAGAAAAAACAATCAATCATACTAACAGCTACTTAAATTTGGTCATTTATATAATAACTTAAGAAGGAAAACATATAAGAATATGACATTTTTTTTCTCATTAGAAACGACGAAATAGAAAATATCGAGTTATGTGAAGAGCTAAGATAAGGAAATATCTTGTAATTCAATACAATTGATTTACTTGCTTTCATACATATGGCTCAAATCTCTAGATTGTATTTTTCTTTTATCCTTGAATGATTAGTATATAAATACCCTCATCATTATACTAACCTTGAACAAGTAATGGATTCATAAAGTAGATATTTATAATAAAAATTCTGTTTACTATATTCAAAATAGATTATATCTCTCAAATAGAGGAGTCTTATAAATAATAGATTGCACTCATAATATCTCTTCAAATGAATCAAACAGATTTTTTTATTAAAAGATAAAGCTTTAGATCCTTTGCAAAATTATATATATATATGAATAGATGAAAAACAAAAAGGAATTGTTTGGCTTATTTGAAAAGTGTTAATATCCAAACTACTTAGAAAATCGTGATGATGATGATGAACAAACGGAAATTCATTGTAATTTATCTGAAGTAGTCTTATCAGAGAAAATTTAATTATGCATAAAAATAATCAATAACATTAATGCTAACAATTTATCATAATCTTCAGGCTGTTGAATCGTTATCGCAAGATAAAGAATTGTTCACATCAGTAATATCAAGTAGAATATGATTGTATCTAATACATGAGTATTTTTTTCATTGATGTTGAATTCATAAAAATATCCTAAGGAATTCATAAGAAACTAATTTTATGTCATTTTCACCCAAAATACTTTTCATGATTTTTACACCTTGAACTTTTTTGTTATCCTGAGGGAGTGTGCGAAAATAGAATCTCTAGTACTCATAAGTTTGTAATTTCTACCTGGATAGATTATTAAAGACATACAAGTATAGGAAAATAAAACATGATGAATAACTAAATGTTTCCGAAATCGTTCTACATTCATAGATATTTACTTCATATTTTCTACATAATATAAATTATTTTTGATTGATTTCATTTTGTTTTTTTTTATATCAAAACTTCATTTAGTCTTTATATAAAATTCATCAATGTGAATTTTAAAGTTATCACAATAATCCAATGTTAGTCTTGAACTGTGTTCAACAGATATTTGATGTTAGGAAAATAATAAAAAAAAAAACAAGAAAAACTAAGTCATATCGTTTTTTTTCTTTTTCTTATTTTTTTAACTAATATTATTTCCATCTAAAAACCATGGTTGACCAGATGAACGGGCTGTTAAAATTTCATAACCCGTATCAGTTACAAGAAATGTATGTTCAAATTGAGCTGAACGTTGTCCATCTTCAGTTGCTGACGTCCAATTATCATTCCAAAGAATATCTCGCCATGATCCTATAAATCAAACAATAATAATAATAAACTATTTTATTTTATTTATCTATCTTACCAGCATTTATCATAGGTTCGATAGAAAATGAATGACCTGCTTTCATAATACCAATAGCTTTATTTTCTAGAATAAAAAATTACAAGTCAAAACATAGAAAATTATGGAAAATATTTACTGGCATAATGTGGAATATTTGGAGCACAATGAAAAAGTCTAAAAAAGAATATTATAAATAAATTCATTTGTTAAAATATATACTTATGAATGCCATGTCCACAATAAGAACGTACAACTGAACAATTATTTGCTGTAGCATGTTTTTGAATTACAGTTCCAACATCACGATATTTTGTACCTGGACGGACTATAGATTAAAATTCAATAGATTGTTGTTTTTTCCGATATATTTATAGTTTACCCATTTCCATAGCTTTTTCTAAACATTCGTATGCTGTACGAACGAGATCGCGTGATTTTTGATCGACATTACCAATAAGAAATGTTTCATTAAGATCACTATGAAAACCATTTTTATAAACACTAATATCAACTATAAATTTTAATAAATAAATTATTTATTTTATTTTCTATCGATAAACTTACTATTAAGAATATCACCATCATGTAATGGACGTAAATCAGGTATTCCATGACAAATAATTTCATTAACACTCCTGAAAATAAATTTAAATATATAAATATGAAATAAGATAAAAAACTAACGTGCAACATGATTTAGGAAATTCATAATAATTAAGCGGAGATGGATAGCATTCATTGTCAATACAACACTAAATTAAAAAATTGGTTATGAATATAATAATGTTCAAAGAAATCATTGTTTTTTTACTTCATGAACAATACGATCAATTTCATCGGTTGTCATACCAACTCGAAGTGATCGAGCAGCTTCATCTAAAACAATACGACCAATCTAAAAAATTCGAATATAATCAATTAGAAAGATCTGAATTTATTTTTTCGAAATATTAACCTTGCAAGTGTCACGTAATATATCCTGTTCTTCGTCAGTTAATACCACAATTGTACTGCTAGATGATTTTTCTCCTTCTTCCGATTTTGATCTACCTCTTGGATCATCTGCGTAATCAGGTCGACGAATATTCGGTGGAACCGTTCGACGAGCGGTCTTTAAAAAAAAACGAATTATTTATTTTGTTTTTTTCCAATAAAAATTTCTTACGATAGGATAGGGTCTTAATTTTCCAGTAAAATGAAAACCTGGCCATGGATTATAATTTTCTGCTGATTCATTCGTTGATGTTGAGCTTTCTAAAATAGGAAAAATTATTTCAAAATTTAATTAAGAAAAATTTTACCAATACATACTAGCTTGTCCATGTAATTTTTTATGTTCTGGCCAATGGCTTTTAAAGCAATCTTGCGAACAGAAATACGAGCCTTCAAGAATACCTAATTTGACACAATTTGGACAGCGAAGTTTTGCTTTTCCACCACAATTAGGTGTAACACATGAATGTTCTTCCAAACCAGTAGCTGACATTAGATCTATAGATTAAAAATAAAATATATATATTTTTTAATATATGACTTCAATTGCACAAAAAAATAAAATAAAAACAAATTAGAGATTCGTTTCTTTTTTGTAAATTATTTTTCACAACATAAAAACACAACAATAGTCATTATTTTGCTTTTTTTTTAATAAATATTAATATTAACAACAACAACAGTAGGGAAGAATTTCATTGTATTTTGATTTGATATATAATATGGAATAAAAATTTTGTAGAATGATTATTAGTTCACATTTAAAGATCCCAACTAAATAGATGATGTTTCATAAGCATATCTCGTACACTTGATAAAACATCACGTTGTCTATATGCTGGGGATAATTCAAAATCTTGCTGTAATGTAAAAGAAAATTGTTGTAATACTCGAAGATCACATTTAATTTGAACCTAAATTAAATAAAAATAAACAAATCCATTCATAAATTGATTTATACATACCCAACAAGGTGATCGTAAGAATGACCAAGGAAAATACCATTTATTAATAATATCTGTACATGAACATAATGTTTCTAACCATAAATGAAGAACTTGTTCATTAAGACCAACACATATAAACGAACGTAATTTAACATCCATTTGTGTATGAGCTAGATTATGTGTATAATTAATTGAACGTATACAACGACATAAAAGTTCTTCGGGTGTTAAAATTCGACCATCTTCGTCCAAGCGATATGTCTTACAAAGTATAAGACGAGCATAAACACTATCGAAATCTTTATTTATTGCATGTAATGCGGCTTCTTCAACAAATAACCATGGATGACATATACCACCTGCAAAAAAAAGTAGATTCAAGGATATATATGTTCATTAATTGTTTAGAGCATCTTTTTATTGTGTAATACGTGATTTTACAGACGTGCAATCTTTTTTTCTGCTTGTTAGTATTATATATCTATGTCCTGTATGTTTCCTTTGCTCCGGTGCATTCTAATAGAATCACTTTTTCCCCGTTTATTTGAAATAATTAGAAGAATTTTGATGGTGTCCGAATCGCAAAAAGCGACTACTTTTAAAATGTTATTCGTCTAAACGCTCGACATTTAACATCGTGATCAAAACAGTCTCTAAGGAAATATCTCGTTTGCGCATCCTATAATTTTTGATGTGATACACGATATATTTATTCTGATTACAAATACACATCTAGGTACGGTTGATTTCTTCAAGGACTGTCATACAAAAATGAACTATTAATACTAAAAATTTCGATAAAAAAAGCCGCGACTCAATATGTAAGAGATTTTTTAATCTACATAAGTTTTCTATTTACCAAGTACAGTTGGTGTTTTTCTTAATCCATGTTCAAATATTGCTTTAATACAAGTAGCTAATTTTCCTCTGACAAGATCAGATATAAAATCATTAACACTATCATCACCAGCTAATGAATATAATTTTGATCTTTCATCAACTAATTGAACGAATTTAGCTGGAAACCATCCATGTTTTCCATTTAATTCTCCAATCCAACAATGTTCGTCAGTCATAGATAAAATTTTCAAAATATCATTACGCTTAAAACTCAATTCATTTGGATCATGAGTATCAAAATCTATTAACGCTTTTGCGCGTTTAAATTTTTGTAAGGAAATATTTGCATAATGTTCATGATCTTTTACATGAGATTCAATTGAATAATCAACATCTAAATTAGTATTTTGTTCCATATAACCATCGGGATCATTATCTTTAAAATGTTTGGCTATGTTAAGTATTGCTTCACGTAAATTAACAAGAATTTCTGTTTGTGTTATATTACGTTCAATAAGTGCTTGAGAATTATTTGATGCGCGTCGTGGATTTAATTTATGATTATAACGTCGTTGTAAAATATCTTTTGGTAAATTAACTAATGGTATTTTAGGATTAATTGTATAACCTTCTTGTGACATTAATTCTAATAGATATTTTTTTCTATATGAATCAATTGTTTCTGATGTTAAGTTGAATAGATTCGGTAATTCATGAAATATTTCTTCATTAGTACCATATTCATATTCAAATAATTGTGGTAATTCACAAATAAAATTGAATATTTGTGTACTATTTGTAAATTCTAAAAATGTTTTTTCATATTTTTTGAACATAGTTAAACCTAGTTGGAATAATATGACTGAACCATAAAGAAAAAAATAATCCCATAAACGAAAAGTAAATTTAATGTGAAATACATTGGAATATAAAGTTAAAAACCATTGGAAACATGTTAAAACCAATTCAATATCATATATATTTAATACATTATGAATATTTGGTAGATGCTGTTCAATTAAATAACGAAATACACGAATATCAACTTGAGCACCGTATAATGATACGGAATAATACTGACCAGGTAAGAGATCTTCAACTATTGTACACATCATCCAAAATGTATCTTCTTCTTCAAATAATAATAATAATGATGCACAAATCATACCCATACCCTATAAAATAATTCATTGAGATTTTATCATCTTTTTCCTAGTCAGTTGAATAGGATTCAAATCAAGTCTTTGTTTTTCAAGGATATTCGCAGATATCATATTTTACAGACTTCAAAAGTGTTTATCAGATCAAATCAGTTATTAAATTAATATTCTTAAAGATAGATGATACATTATTAGATGGTCATTTGAAATAAAACAACCGTTTTCGTCATGGCTGTACAGATAACATGTCTTTATTGAGAACAACTCAACATCTGTCTGGTCACGATAACACATAATCATCTTCAGGGTTATATGACTATCAGAGAGCGAAAACGAACCGAATCAGTAAAAGCCGGTTCGATTCACTTTCTGACGACTATACCCAAACATGTTCGATATTTAGAAAGTCTTTCGTCATTGAATCAGTTTTGTTCATAAACTACTATAAAAACTCCTCTTTAGGTCTTATTATGAATTTCTCTCTATCACTTAACTGACAGAGATTAGAAGCTCGTATCTGCATAGATGGTCTATATATCATAATTCGCATTAGTGAACTTCTCGAAACTTGATAGTGCATCGTTTTATACATATTTATAATTTTATCAAATAGAATTAAATTTTCTTCGATATAATACATACTTGACAATAACCAACATCTAGAATAAAATGAAGATAAATATTTGTAAAATAAAGAAAATTATTTTTTCATTTATACCTGGAAACAGCCAAGCAATAGCTCTTAGAACACGTCTTAATCGTGATATACCGGATGCATTCAGTGACATAAAACATGCATTTGTTGGTAATGTTCTTAGAAGATCTTTTTCAATTTGTTTCGAATAAAGTTGAGCATCATTATTACATTGTTTAAGCATATCAATATAAGACATTTTTGCTTGATATTTTTTGCGTAATGATCCACTAAGACACATCCATATTTGTGCTCGTAATGCTAATGGAATACCACATGATTGTTGTAATAGTGTAGCAATTTTTGGATCTTGTCGAAATTGTTTTGGATTTATTTTATGAACAAATTCTTGTTCTTGAATAGGTAAATGAATAACATCTATTTTATATGCTGAGTCAAGATGTGTTAGCCATCGTAGTTTAATTTGTTCATTTTCATTAATTGGTACGATTTCATATTGTTGTTCATTTTCATTAATATCAATACGAAAACCATATTCATCATAGATTGTTTGTTCATCTGTATCATTTAATAATAATTGTGGTGCTGGAACAAGTGAATTAATAAGAGCTGAAAATGGTTCACCAATAATAATAGTAGGTGAAGAGATTTTATTATGATCATTATTGTTTATTTTATTTTCTGTAGTATTATTTGATGTTGTTGTTTGTGGTAATGGATATTGAGAAGTATAAGATGCGTCATCTTTTTCCCGATAATGTGAAAATATATGATCAGATGTTGATGATAGGGAAGAAAAATTATCATCGGTACCAAATGAATTTAACATCGTTGTCATTTTGAAGAAAAAAAAAGAAATTTCGATGTTATGTCAGTTAAAAGAATCTAACATATATAGTTGGTTGGACTAATAGTAAATCGAATAGAAACTAGTCGTTTCTGTGTTCTACCGACATCTAGCAAGATCTTCATCTATTCTTAATAAAATCATAATATTTCAATTGAGATAATCAAAGTTTATATAAATCTTGATTGAGAAAATCATTCTAACTCATAGCTAAAAAATTATAACGATGCTAGTAGATTTTATTGACATTATAGAAATAAAATTTAGTTTAAAAGTGTTATGTGAAGATACTCATCATAACGAAAAATGTTCTACTAACATGTTTTAGTAATTTACATAGGTTAATTGCCGCTATTATTAAGATTTTTCTTGTATAACAATGTCTATTCGTACAGTTTGATTTATTTGATTAAATTCAAGTAATGAAATTAATGTAAAATATTTATTAATGCTGATTAGAAATATCAGAACTAAATTTGAGTACATATAAAATGAATATTTCGAAAATAGTAGCAATTAGCAATTAATAATTTTCTTTACTTATTAGATCAGATATCGAAATAGGTTTTTCTATTTTTGTATGATTTAAGATACAATCATTGATTTTTATAACATTTTGATAAAATAGTTTCTCATTCGTATAGAAATCAAAATATCAGCTTGTCGTTAGTATATTACCTTATTTTCTTGTAAGGGTTGTAAAAATAGAACTTTTAGAAAGCTTTACAGAGTCGCATGAGTGCGTTACCGCAGTATTTGACATTCAGTTCGAAAAAAAATTAATATTTTTGAAAATGCCTTTTCCATCAGATAGCCCAACCTCTTCACTATAATACTACTCTCGATTATATATCTTTATAACATAAGCATTCGTGTGAAATTTATCATTTCTGACATGACTGAACAAAATAAGGAGTTTTGTGTGAGTGCGTTATCTGCGAATATTCTCTTTTTCAATTGCTAAAACTTGCATATCATCACCTATTACCACTCATATATTTTTGAAAGTATGGAATTTATATTTTCCAGGTACATATACTAGATGATGATATGTCTGATTTTGAATTATTTATTTGTTGTACTAATACAATTAAATCATTCTACAAAGAATAAAAATAATTATTATTTCATTGTATTATCCTATATATCAATTAGTAAATAAAACGATTATTCGAAACCGATGTATTTTATTCTATTTTGGTTATCATTTTTCAGTCAAACCAAATTTTTTTTCTTATCTAACGACAAAAAATAATAAAACAATAATTTATAGTTGAGTTAAATATGTTGGGTGTTTTCATTATACATAAACTTTAACGAATAAAAACTTCTATGACAATAAACAACAAGAAAAAAAAACGAATGTTTTTTTGGTTATTTATTTTATGAACCAACAATAATGTTATTAATAGGTATATGAATAAGTTTAACAAAAAATCCAATAAAACCCATTATAGCAAAACCAATTGCTGTGGCCATAGCAATTTTTTGAAATTCTAAATAAGAATATTATTTAAAAAATAAAAAAAATATTAAATAAAATTTATTACCTTTACGATCAGGTTTTGTACATTTTTTAACTAAACGAATGGAATCTTTCATAAATTGTTTGCATGGTTCGGTAAATTGTGTAATTTGATCCATTTTAAGAATCTAAATATAATAAGATATCCTAATAAAAAATATATATATATATTAATTAACTTACGTCGTAATAAATAAAATTGAAAATAAATATAAAATAGTTTTATCTTCGATTGTGTTTACGTCGTTCGAAGAAAAGATAGATATATATCAAATGGTATCGTTTAACCAATCAAATAATAGCTTCGTCAATTGATGACGTTCATCTGCATTAATAGATTGATACTTAAAAAATAAAATCTATAAATTCTATCGATTTTTCTATGGTTAACAATGATGTGTAGATAATGGATAAGAATTTTAAGCAAGTTTTTAACATTATTCGTTTGGTAACGATGGTTACCGTAAATAAGAGAACATGGAAATGGTAATTAGTCAATTTACTAGCTAGAGAGAAGATATTTTGTAGTTATCAGTTTAATCTTATTCAGAATTGTATTGATTCTTATCAGAGAAGAATAAGATGAAAAAAGCTTGTTTATTGATATGAAGCTATTGCATCCCTACAGTCCGATAATGTAATACATAATAATTACGATTGATATGGCATATTTAGTAAAGGAAGTATATGACTATATAAACTAGCTAATATTTAGGGAGCTGCGAGGCCGGGTCTATATCTAAATTTAACTTCAGACTCTTTTAAAGTTTCGACTATTCATTGATATTTTTATAAAGTGCTTGAATCTTGTGGGCAGAGAATGCCAGATATTGGTTAAATAAATCGGATCCAGATCTACAGTTCACTAAGAATATTCTATTTAGAACTAAATTTCGTAAAGCACTGTCGCGTTACGTTTAAAGATTTTCCAACTGCTCTAATCAATTATGTTTAGTAAGAATATTTTTGTATTCCTAAAATTCAAGTGATTTAACAATGATTCACTTACTTAAAATGTATATGATGTTTTTAGTTCCGATTTAGAGGTACGTTAATACTGTAAAAAGTTTTACACTGTGTGCTGAAATAAAAAGAAAGTTTTTCGAATTTATTACGATTGACAAAGAAAAGAATTTTGTATATTTCTCCTCAAATTTCATCATCTTGTTGTTCTATAAAAAGTATGCGCATCAATCATGTGAAAATTTTCATATCTATATTATTTGTTACTGATCATTTTCAGAATATATATCTGTTTTTAAAATAAATCAATGTCTAATGATGAACTATCACCTACAATATCTTCGATGACAAAAAATTCTATATCACGTAAATATCATATTTTAATTGATAATCACATATTAGAAAGAAAGATTAATGATGAACTTGATAACAATATAATTCCAACTATAGGAATTAATACATCATCAAAACTACCATTTCTTCCAACAAAATCCAATGTTTTATCTTCGACACTTGGTATATTATTTATTAAAAATTGTTTTTATTTTTAATTTCTTTTTCAAAATAGAAACGATGCAAATGAAAAAAAATCGTAAGAAATCAAAAGGTACTATTACAACGTCATCATCATTTAAACTTGAACGACAAACAACAAATATTCCATCGAAAATACGTTTACCAACATTATGTACAACACCAAATGATAATGAACAAAAACGAAAATCTGAATATCAGCGAAGACAAGTTTGTTTTACTTATAAAATATTTCTAAATTTCTTTTTTTTCTATATAATAGATCTATGCATTAAATAATTTAATGCGTGAATTGGAACAAGAAAAATTTCGAGAATTTTTCAAACCTAATGATGTTACTCCTGTAAATACTGAAGAAGTTGTTGTTTCGAATACTGAAGATTCAACTAAACCATCATCAATCTGATGTACCCTGTGATATTTTAAGTCAATATTTTTATTTTATTTTTCTATTTAACTAGTCGTGTTGTCTTCCCTTTGATTACTCAATGATTTCTTATTTATTTTTCTAATAAAATATCGATAAAATTAATTTCATTCAAGGACTATTACCGAGGTGTCGAGGGCAGAGGAGGTGCGTTACGTCCCCCGCCCGTCCGTATACCCCTGTTATCAACTATAGTAAATACTTTTTATCATTTAATAATATACCATAATAGAGAATCTATCGTATTCTTTAAAAAAAATTCAACTACGAAGTTAGCCTTTTACCTAACACCCTTTTGACGAGTATAGTAAATATTTTCGATGAATAAGTTTAAAGTACATAGATAAAAATTATTTTTCTCATCGACTGAGAAATTGAATAGCTGACGCTGAATCCCATTATCTTTAGCAATCATATATAAACGAAATAGATAATAAAACAAAAGCCAGTGTATATTGTGCTCAAATGTCTTCAATTATATTGATTACAGTTATTATAACTGCTAGTATTGGCAATTTATATGCTGATACAGTAGTATATACATCAGGCAATTATAAAATGACAATCATCAATAACGATCCTGGTTTTAATCAGAATACAAGACAAAGATGTATCGATACATATTTTGCTAATATGTAAATTTTTAATTAAATTTCTTATTACATTTAAATATCTTTTTTTTTCATTGTGTAAATTTTAGGCCACAAATGTGCAGTCGATTTAATAACAATGGATGTACTCGTGATGTTGTATTTACAATTGATCCAAATTATAATGGTGTTGCTTATGCATCAGGTGGTAATATTGTTATAAGTGCTGCATGGCTTCGAAATAATCCACAAGATACAGATGTTGTTACACATGAAGCTATGCATGTTGTTCAACGTTATCCACGTGGTGATCCAGGTTGGTTAATTGAAGGCATTGCTGATTATGCTCGATTTAAATATGGAAGAAATAATCCAGCTGCTAATTGGTGGTTACCAGATTTTGATCGAAATCATCATTATACGAATGCATATCGTGTAACTGCACGATTTTTAGTTTGGTGTGAACATCGTTGGCCAAATATTGTCAATCAACTTGATTCAGTTATGCGTAGTAATACTTATTCAGCTAATTCATGGAATCAATTTTCAGGTGGTAAATCAGTTGATCAACTTTGGGGTGATTACGCAAATAATCCAAATATATAATAAATTATTTTTTTTTAAATAAAAAAAAATAAGATTTTAATTGCAAATATAAAAATAGTTAATCATATGTATCGCTTAGAGTACTCTCAGCAGGATCATTGAATGAATTATATAGAGAATATAATAATAGTTCAAATATTTCTATTCAAATTCACAGTACGTAATAATAATCTCCTTTCCTTGCAAGGTTAACCAAAAATCGGCTTTTGAATAAAGTAATTGATTGGTTCAATAAATGAATGAATGATTTTAAAATGTACTCATAGAGTACAAACATAACTGGTTAACAGTATTCTCTTTCTATTCTCATATATAAACTGATCATTCGTAGGTCAAATCATTGGTATACTAAACATATGGGATATCTTGCATTATGAATATGAACATACTTTTTATCTTTGTTCTAACATTAGGTATTATAAAATGTAATGAAATATCTATTTTAAATCAAACAAAATTTATTGTTAAAAAATTTTATTCATTAAATGGTTATAATTTAACTATTAAAAATACAGATTTAAAATTAAATTCTGCGGTTCAACAACGTTTAACTGAAATCTATTTTGATATATATCCACGTCTGATAAATCGTTTTAATACAAACGCTCCTCGTTCTATTCATGTATTTATTGATGGTTTAAATAAATATCCATATTGGGGTTTAGCAGTTGATTCAACAATAATTATTAATTCATATCGACTACGAAATCCAACATCATTTGCACGTTATTATGATATATTTCTTCATGAATTAGCTCATCTAGTTCAACAATATACAACACGGAATCTAGCCGATGTTAAATGGTTAGGTGAAGGTCTTGCTGATTATGTTCGTTATAGATATGGTGGTTCAAATATTGATGCTGATTGGTCATTACCTGATTATAATAATAAACAATTTTATTATGATAGTTATAAAGTAACAGCAAGATTTCTTATCTGGCTTGAAAATAAATATAATTCAAGTGTCATTGAACAACTTGATAAAGGTTTACGGGATGTTACATATAAACAAAATACAACATGGAATGAATTAACTGGACAATCTATTGAAAACTTATGGTTAGATTATAGTCGAAATTCAGATTTAATTACTAATATTCCATTTATACAAGTAACGAAAACATTTGAAAATGATAATATTACAGATGATGATCTTGTAAATTGATGGAAAAAAAACTAATATAATTAATCCGATAGTTTATATTTACAATTTTTTTGTTGATCTATTGAATTAAATAAAAATATAATTATCTAGTAGATTTAAATAAATTCAATATAAAGTTTTATTTTTCTCACAAATAATCGAGATTTACTTCAATTTCTATCAGGGTATCATAGACATGTATATATTTGATGTGGTGTCCGTTGAGCGAAAATCGTTTAAGCGAACGACTTTTCAGCGAAAGTCACAACTGTAAAATACCTTTCGACCTCACCCTCACTTTTCGTTCATACCTTCATCAAGAAAAATCATTTCGCTGAGTTCCTTTCGCGAAAACTTTTCGCTTAATGGCACCACTACCATTTGTATGACTCTACTGTTTCACTTTATTTTGCGCATAATCTTCCACTGTACAGTTATGTATTCCTGCCTATTTGTGAAAACAATTCAGCAAACTGTTCCAATCAGTTAATAGAAATTGAACATGTATTTTACGGCGATATTGCTGTCTACTTGAAAAAGGATATGTACAAATTATATCTCGTATAAAAAAAATTATTTTATTATTTCATATATCAATTAGTAATTATATAAAATATCGAATAGATTTAAAAAATACGCATTTAAATTACTAAAACTTTTAAAAAAAGAAATATTATTGGCTTGATTATCTCTAATCATATTCTATGATGTTTTGTCAATACCATCTTTTTTCTTTTTTCCATCAGCATGTTCTACATTCCAATCAACTGGATTAAAGAACTGAACCGTTTTTTTGTATGTCCAATAAGGTGTTAACCACAAACTAACAAGAGCAAGACCTGTTATCATCATTACTGTATATATAAGTGGAAGATTTGCCTTAATATTTGACCAATCATTGTAAATATCATACCACCAGCAAAATTCGTGAACAGTTCGCCAATGAAATACATATATTAATATCCATTGATTAATTTTCCATACTTTTGTATGTTCAAGTTTTAATTTTAATAAACACCAACAAACACATGAAAATGGTGTACTTGCTTCAAGTATAAAACCTTTTATTGCATAATAATGACCAAGATTATACCATGCAGCAAGAAAATAGCCACTGAATGCAAAAAAATGATGTAAATGTAATTCTTTGGAGAATGTACCATATTTTACATCGAAGAAAATTAATGTCGATTCTTCGAATATGAAGAAACCAGTTAAAATAGATAAAAATGTCCATGATTCATCCGTTGATGATAGTACATGGTCACACTTAAGACGACCATCAACATAAATAATATAAGCAGCTAAATATAGAACAAAAAAAATTAATGATAGCTTTGAGTCTTATAAACAATTCATACCCCATAATGTACACATGCCACATACTGAGCGAACCATAGCTAATTGCCAAAACATTTGTTCTTTTGCTTTCAATGACCTATTTTCAAAAAAAAAGAAAGAATTAGAAATCTCGGATGGTATCTGAATCTTGAAGAAGGTTATTAAACTTGCTATACTGATTACTACTAAAAGACAAGGACTACACTCTACTTGCTTGCAGACATTATTAAACTTGTTACTGGCACTCTCATAAATGAACTAACGAATCAATCAAAACACTTAGTAATAATATTAGAAGGTCACACTAACGAAATTGTTGAAATAATTTAATATTATTTTACAGTCAAAATTTACAATATATAATATTAAATTAACTTTACCGAACTCCAGGTATGAGAGTTCTTGATATCCAACCCATAATAAAGTACAATGTTAACCAACCAAGAGAACTAACACCAACACGAATGGCATTGTCACCTATAGATTGACTTGATTGTGTGCATATTATAGGTATTTCCGCGTTTACACTAACCTAATATTCATATTTTAATTAACAAAAAAAAACGTAATTTTTCAACAAGAAAAATTATCTCACCATTTTCATGTTTATAACAACTTAATTCTATCTATCTGCCTGAAGGTGAAATTAAATATTCTTGACAGTGTATCCAACTTATAACAATAGATAAGCGAAGCAACTTTTTGTTTTTTTTGTGCTGTTATCATATTATTATTTTGCATTCCTCGTGATATTAAAATTACTAACAACAGTACTCTTATATTTGTAAATAAATAGGCCAGTTATTCAAAAAAAAATATATGTTGAAATAACTTTCGAAAAGAAAATATTTTATTTTTAAATAAATAAATAAAAATATCAAATAGTATTTTATTAGTACTACGAGAATATATTATAAAAAAAATGTATGTTGTATAAACTTGATTTCATGCTTGTTACAACACTAGTTGACCTGAATAAATATATACATGTTTAAATGACCGTCTATAAGCCTCCGGTATAATTATTAGTGAAGCCAAATGATTACATAGATGTTCAACAAGCAAATAAAAATTGCAAGTGTATATGCAAATATTATGTAGAAATATTGAACATATTTGCGTAGAATATATATCAATCATATATGTAACAGAAAAAATTTCATTTATTATGAAAATATTTTCATTGAAAATGAAATTATTTCAATTTGTTGATTTTATAAGAGGTAACAATCAATCAATCTTTCATTCATTATGACATCTCATTGGCATTCTTTTTTTTTCAAAAGTAACCTACAAACCAAGGTCATTATTTCAAATGTAGAAGTATAATAACCTTGAACATCAGTTAGACAGTGTTGTATTGAATATAAACTTTATACATATATTATTGTCATTATTTAGTAATTTTAGGTGAATATAATTGTTAAATATTTGTGTATATATATGACTGAACCTGACTATTAAAATTGAATTTTCGTTTTTTTTTTTAATATAAATTTATATTTGTAATACATATTACGTTGTTCTTGAAATTTTGATCATCAATCTAGGAAAAGAGAAGAGAAGAGAAAGGCAATACATAAAACATGATTTTTTTTTTCTTTTTCTTTCTTCTTGTTCTTGTTCTTCTTCATCTCAACGTTGTAATATACAACACATTTAAACCACTACTTCATCACCACCATCATCATTTCTTTTTCTTTTCTTACTAGTTGCCTCTTTCTCTCTCTCTCTCGCGGTTTTTTTTACTCGTCATTCATTTTCGAATGTTAAGAGCCATCGATGGCATTTGTGTAGTTGAGTTGTTAGTGAGACAAAAAAAATATATAGAAATGTCTTTAAAAGTGTCAGATGGATATTATCAATAAGATTTATTACCTAATTAGCTTCATCTATTTTTCTTGTTATTTTTTCAAAATGCGTGACATATGTTCAATGTATAGATATGTATGTATATATAGTCGTATTTTTTATGGCAGCCAGGTAAGTCGTATATGTCTTATCACGCAACAAATTAATTCATATGTTTGGTTACTTTATCGTTTTATTTCAAATATTTGAATGAATAAGAAAGAAAGAAAGAGAGCAATAATGAATGTTTATTACAATGTGTGAATATATACTACGATGAATAGTTTCGAAATTATTGAGTTGCAATAAATAGATTTCTTTTTTTTTAGATTAGTAATGGTATAATATATTGATAAGCAGCGGTCTTCACGTGTGACGATGAATTTTCCATGTGGACCGTTGGATTCAATCCAATTGATCGCACTTATCCTTTTTGTACTTCTTACTCTACAAAGTTTATTAGGTATTGGTCTAGGTATAGGATTTCTTCTTCAACCACCATTATATAAAACTATTATTGATCTCAATGCTGCTTTTAATAGACAAGCTTATTTTTCCATTTATGCACGTATGTAAAAATTGTTGAAAGAGGAGAAAAAAAATAATCGACTATAAATGTCTTTTTTTTAGCTCATATTCTTCTCATAATCGGTAGTGGTATAGTAGCAATACCAATCATTTTTGGCATATTTGGTATAATACAACGTCGTTGGCGTTATTTAATAATTTCTCTTGCTCTACTTTCACTTTATATGGCAATTTTATCAGGTGCTTGTGCTTCAGGTTTTGCTTATTATGATCGTCTTCGACCTACACTTGAAAATGATGTTGCACTAACATCAGCATCTGTATGGATACCTGTTCGTTCAACTTATAATTGTACAGGAACAAATTGCGTTACAGCATTAGAAAATGCAATGTATGCCAATAAACAACGTATTGGTATAATATCTGCTGTATTTTTACTTGTACCAAGTTTAATCATAATTATTATTATGTTTCAAATGCGTCGAGATGTACTCTATTTTAAATAATAATATAATAGACATATAGAAGTTCATGAACCCTATTTCACCTTCTTTTTTATGATGGTGCTTCTCTTTTCTATGCAATACGGTGCTAAATTTAGATAAATATAAATATATATATACATACAAATCTCTATATCAGTGTGCATAACTATTAATATTCAATAATAATAAAAAAAAAAACGAAAGATAGATGTAATATTCTCTTTATCGTTATCGCTCACTGAGCTAATAATTGACCGTGATATTAAGTTTTTCTTTTTTCTATATTGATTACATAATATAGACTATACAAGAAAAAACGTGACGTATGATAACGAGAAATACACTAAATAAAAATGAACATGAACTTGAGAATTGAACTGTATATGTAAATTTATATCATGTCATACTTTTACTTTCGTTCAATGAACAATAATAATATTAACAAATGAAAACTGTCATCATATAAATATTTGACAAAAAATTTACATATTTTATGTAAATAGAAATTTAAATTCATATGATGATAAATTAAAATTTTATCACGTGTGATAAACTACATTTATATATGAAGAAAATGGCACATATGTAATATTTTTGTTTATGTTGATGTAATTCAGATTTTAAATTGAATAAAAATATGTTAATCATTTTAAACATTATCAATCACTTAAAATTCTATCATAATATTTGGTATCAGTATTACGTCTAGACATTATTCGTACAGTTATCAGTAGAATTATGTAGTTTATACAAATAAAATCGATCACTATTGTACATCGTATTTGTTAATCATCATTATCGTATAATAGTAACTTTAGGAGCATTTTTAACATTTAACATTTGAGCTTCATCATTACCTTCGATAGTAGTATGATCTCTGCTACTTCAAATAACAAAAAACGTTTAACGATCAAAATAATATAAGATTACATAATATAATCTATTTATAGCATGATAAGAAGATTTTAATGATGCATTTCTATATATACGTATTTTTTTTTAATTTTAAAACATGATTACAACAAGTAGAATTGAAAATATATATATACATGTGGAGCAAACTTTATAGTGAATTATGTAATACAGTACTTATAAAATTCTTCCTCTTAATACAAAAGATGGTAAATGAATGCATTTAACATCCTTTTATTTTAATTCAATGTCGTGTAAGGAAATCAAACAATACAGATTAATTCTAATCAGTCAACATTTCCGTTTCTTAACAATTGTTATTGATCAATAATGAAACATACGATATATACTAGTTTATCTGTCATGACATTTACAAAAAAAAAAATATGGAGTTCATTCATCTGTAAATAATCCTTTTTTTTTTAAACTTTGAAATGAGTCCATACATATATAGTGTCATGTTGTCAATGGTAACACTATTTTTGTATTGTTATTTTTTACTTGTCAAGCGTCACACTGTAGATTAATTTTGTTTGCTTATTATTCTTTGATTTGATTGAAAAGAGCACTTATTTTTTTCTTCTTCAAAAACAATCGGAACACTTTTATTATTAATTCTGTTGAAAAAAAAATTCAAAGAATTAATTCAATTAATAATAATACGAAATATAGTTGTTAAATTTTAAGATAAAATTCTCAATTTTTTTCGTTCATTTCAATACATGTGTGTCATGCATTTATCTGATGAAATTTATTACAGTTTTTTTTGAGTTGTGATACCTATTCATATTCAGTATTGACATATATAGATCTAGAGAATATTATGAGTAGTGAACTTTAGCATCAGATTAGTCATAAGATAAGATCGTCTTTTTGTATTAATTAAAATTATCAATTCTTCTTTCAACAAATAGATTTACTTATCTACATATGATGCAATAACGAACTTTCTATTCTAAATTATCGTAAGGCGATAATTTGATGAAAAAAAGAATTTATTGATCATTTTTCATATATAAGATTATAGTTGACTAAAAATGCGTAAGAATTCTGATATTGACTGAATAAACAGTTGTTTGCACTAAAAAGTCTAAATCAATCATCGTACAAAATTTATGATAAATTTTCTAAGGTTTCACATTTGAAAAATCTGTTAGGACATATTACAAAAAAATGTTTTTTAGATATTTCTGAATTAATTTTTTTTTCTTCTCTTCATAAATGTTATATTACAAGTAATATTTCCTTTTTTCTTCTAATTAACTAAATACTTTATGACATCTACTTGATTAAATTATAATGCTAACGTTAGTCAACAAGACTTTTTTTGTCTTCAGTCTATCGAAAGTCATTCTTTTTTCTTTCAATAATATGAGAAACCTATAAGAAGTCTTTTTTTTTAATCATTTCACTACAATATTTAAAGCAATAGTCAATCACTTTTAACTTGATCATTTTAAGAAGTGTAGAAAAAAGAAAATATTCTTCCTTTTATTTACAAATCTTTTGTATTATTCTAATCAATATGAAATGATGAAATATTCATGAAAATTTATTTTTTATTAATATGCATTAGTATTTTGAATATAATAAATAGATGGGTTTTGATTCGGAATAGGATTTATTATTTGTCTGTTTGTTAATTGTGGTGATGCTGTATATTCTCTTGGTGTTTGCTGAACTTTTCGAACAGGTTGTGCATAATTTTCATTTGGAATTTGTTCGTCGTCTGTAGGTGGTAATTTTTTATAAACTCTTCGAACAACTGTTAAATCAGGTTCAGTAGTTTGTTTTGGTCTAACAGTTTCAGGTGGCTGCTGTTGTTTTC